GCATCCCACGCCATCCCACGCCGTCCCACCGATTCCATACCACCCCAAGTCAGCATGGCACAGAACGTGTTGGGAATATTCCCAGGGAGAGGCGAGAGGATCGGGGGGAGGTAAGAGAGGTTGAGGTGGGGGGGAGAGGAGGGACAGCTACAGCCAGCAGTGATGGTTGTTGGTGGTACGGAATGCATGTTGCCATCACCAAAATGTTGCTGACCCAAAGCCAACCTTGACCCCAGGCTGACCCGATCCAGACCAATAACTATCCCGTGGGTCACCTCTGGGTCATGACATTTTGGTGATGGCATGCCTGTCAGGGGGCGGAACAGCACGGCTTACTGTCAGCACGGCTTACTGTCAGCACGGCTTACTGTCAGCACGGATCACAACGTGAGTGCAGCACGGCTTACTCTCGGCGTCCACCACGGGAGCAGCGCGTGCGAGGGGCATGCAGCAGCGCGCCACCACCAGCGCCACCACCGCCGCTCTCGCCGCCACCATGACGCCGCCGCGCCTCCCCATCGCCGCGCCCCAGTGCGGCCCCATCGATGCCCGAAATTGACGGGCTTGCCCGATCGTCCTGCACGCACGCCCTGCCCTGGCAATTGCCCGAAGGCGTGTGGCCCTTTACGCTGAACAGGATTTGCTGCTGTTGCTTGGTCGTGAGCCTTTGCGTGTGTCGTTGCAGGGCGGGGCGGGGGACTGAGCTTCTTGAGCGTAACGATACTACAACTAAGCCGTTCTACTGCTTCTCCTTCTAGGATCAATGGCGACTGCAACGCGAGATTCTATATCATCTCGTGTGCTGATTCTATATCAGGTAAGATATGTTGGCGAATGAATCTAATGTACTCTCGTGCAACTATTTTTCGTCTGAGTATTCGTCTCTCACAGGAGTCTCGCGAAGCACGCAAGGGATGCGGAGTGTGATGGCTAGGGTGCGCGAACCAGCTTTTGGCAAAGCGCAGTCAAGTAGAGAGAATGGGATGGTTTGTTGATGGTGGTGGTGGTGGTCGGTTTCATGAAAAGCTCACTTCACCTAGATTTTTAGAGAAGTTTTCGATTCCTTCAAATCGCTTTGAATCGCACAGCAGAGTCGGCATTTTTCCAATCGAAGGCCCAACGAAATTGAAGACTTCGGCTGACCAGCGTGGTTGGTGGGGGAAGGCGTGACGGTGGAGAGAGTAACGCGTTACAGTGAAACGCCAGACATGCCCGTACGGTTATGTCTGTAATCAGTTCACCAAAAAATACAAAAATCAAACATGCTAATTCCGATGGCCTTTGACTAAAGATTACCTGCATACTTGGTGAAGAAATAAGAGGTCAGAGTTTCATCATAATGGGGAAAAATACTAAGTTTTCTACACAACATGCAAACACAAATGTTGGAAATAAATTTGTGGGACACAAAAATTACTGGTTGGGAATACATTTGTGGGACAAACAAATGGGATGGGATAAATATCAACTACACGACTTATGATATCATGCAGATACGTGCGACTCTTGTCACCGATATAATTTCTGCGTACAAAAAGCTAGTGCAAGTGGGGCACTAGCAAGTGATCTCCACACCTATGGTAGCTTGCCGGGCAGCAAGGGCTCTCTTTGAAAAGAAGTAGCGTGTGGGGGGTCGATTCTTGAGGCGCCTCAGCAACTGCGGTAGTGAGAAGGCCAGCAGCAGCAGCACCGCCAGTGGAAGCAGCAGCAGCAGCAGCAGGTTTCCAGGCATCTGGAGAGCAAACAGAGCCAACCCCACCACTGCAGCGCCTGGTGGTTCACATGATGGGTCGTGGAAAGAGAGGGTGGAAAGAGTTGGTGCTGGGCCTAGTGGATGAGGAGAGCGGGACGAGTGGGAGGAGATGATGTGTGTATGCAGTCACGGAGGGAACTCGACTGGTGCAGGTGCACAGGCACTGGCACAGAGGGCTGACTGGTGTGCTCAGACTTTTGAGGCGCCGCAAAACAGGTGCAGTGCACAGGCACTGGCACAGGGGGTCGACTGGTGTGCTCAATGGGGATGGGCTACAGGCAGTGCGGCCTGGGGTGTTGCAGGTACGTTGGCCCTCCACACAAACACGCCCTTCAAGCAACGTGGTAACGGCTTTGCTTATCCAACATGTATTTTTGAAGGGAGCCGCAGCGGAGGTACGGAGGGGTGTCATAGGAGGGCGGGCAGGGTGCACAGACGCACGAGCACACGCGATGCCGACCCAGTGTGGGCAGTGGAGTGGAGGGGAACAAGTTGAGCTTCTGAGCACGAGTGCACGGGTTAATTTGGCTGCGAGTGGTGGCGCTGCCACTCTCCCAAGCCAAGGGCGGGTAGATTACAGCAAGCTCTGGTGGCGCTGCCAGGGTTTAGGGCCACTCTACCACGGCCCCCTGCCACTCCCCCAAGGCCCACAGGCTCTGTTCCCCGGGCCGCTGAAACGAGTCGGGTTCGCAATTGTTTGGGATTGCATGCAGGCATGTAAGCAGGCATGTTGGAAAGCATTCTTTGGAAGACAAGATGCAGCAATGAAGAGCTTATTGCCAAAGAGGAAGAGAAGAAGAAAGCAAGCTTCACCTATTGAGCGCAATCAGCAGCAGGCATACCGTGGGAGACGCACGTGCCAGCCTTCGGCCCTGGCGTGTACCCCTCATCACAGACGCACTGGCCCTCGGGTTCACAGTAGGGTGGCGGCGGCTCATCGTCGTCCTCACATGCAGTTATGTTGTAAGAGGGGTCCGGCACAAAGGAGCACACGCCATGGCCGCTGCACGGCGGGGTGAGTGGCTGCGCCCCACAGAACGCCCGGCACTCGCTGGCTCGCCTCTGTTGCTCCCCACGGCCGCAAAAGATCGAGTGGCCTCCAAGGCAGTTGTGGTGGAACAGACACACGCTGCTGGTATTTGAAGGGTCTGGTGTGGCCGTGAGGTAGTTGTTTTGAACTTGTATACTGTATGGCAAAGAGAGATGTGGGATGAGGTGGAAGGAGGGCAGCTCTCCTGTAAGCTGGTTGTGGTCAAGGTAGCTGTGATGCCATGGGAAGGTGGGAGGGGAGAGGTGGAAAGAGAAGCGGAGAGGTGAGGAGAATGAGTGATGGGAATGACGGGGTGATGGGAGGGGAAAGAGGGAGTGAAGGGAGAGGGGAGTGATGCGACAGGAGTAGCATGTGCGTGTTGACTGGGATCTTTGTTCCGGTGTACACTGCGTGAGATTGAGATCTGATTCGTGGAATCTACTTTTTGCATGGGATCTCTGTGTGGGATCAGCGGACACGCTTATCCTTTGGTTCCTAGGAGGTGAATCAATTCAAACGTTTCAAGGCATGATATGAGAAAGATGGCTCCTGGGAGGGAAGGGGAGATTAAGTGGTCGTGTCATGGCGGATGGCATATATTTATTCCAGGGTGGGAACCTTGAAGGTGTTTTGAGTCGACTCAATAAGAGGGAAGGGGAGAGTAAGTGGTTGTGTCATGGCGGATAGGATGGCATTTATTCTCAGGTGGCAACCTTGAAGGTGCAGCCGCCAGCCGGGAGAAAGGAAGGGACGTGTGGATGGAAGAAGGGGAGAGACGTGTGAATGGCAAAAATGTGATGCGAGCAGTATGGGTGGCGCTTCACAGAGATGGGTAGTGGTGACAGTTGTTGGATATTTGTGTGCGCCGTTAATGGAGCTGGTTGTTCCAATCAGCGAATCCAAAGACTCTTAGTAGGCTTGCAGCAGTTCGAATCCAGCCATTCTCACCTGTGACTGGAGCTGGTTATTTTAATCAACGAGTCCTCGAGCGAAAGGTGACTCACAGACGTGTCTTTGAGAGACGAGGAGAAGAGAAGAGGAGAAGAAGAGAAGAAGGCAGAGAGGGGTACCCTTTCAAATGCCCAATGCTCATCAGATAGAGGCAGGTGGAAAGAAGAAACGGAGAGGGAGGGTGTGGAGGGAGAATGGACGCACAGGGAGGTGAGTGCGGTGAGGTGGGTAATGCAGGCGGGAATGGTGCCACTCAGCCTGTTGTCATTCAGCTCCCTGCCATGGCATGGCATGGCATGGGATGGCATGGGATAGCATGGGATGGGATGGGATGGCATGGGATGGGATGGTCTGGCATGGCATGGCATGGGATGGGATGGGATGGGATGGGATGGGACGGGATGGGATGTGATGGGATGGGATGTGATGGGATGGACGGCCAGGCCATTAGGCCATAAGGATGCCTCCACTCGCTCGCTCACTCAGACATTCCTCTAATCACAAGATGCCTCCACTGAGCTTGTGAAACTGGAACTCTAATCACTCATCCTCTGATCCCCTCACCCACCGACTCACTCACTCACTTACACTCTCACCGCACCCGCTCTCAGCCTCTCACTCTCCCACTCACTTGCTCCATGAGGGGACCTTTGGCTGCCACACCTGATCATTCCACAGCACCTTGCATGCCTTCCCCATCACCACTCACAAGCTTCGTAGCTGCTTGAGGCGGCTGATTGCCTCTGGAATGGAGCCTGAGAGACTGGTGCCAACCAGTACCCTGGAGCATTGAGAGGATGGGAGGAGGGAGGATGGGGGAAGGTGGATATGAGAAGGGCGGAGGGTGGAAGGGAGGAATGGGGAAGGATGGAGAGGGGAAGGAGAGGCATTGAACGAAGGGAGGTGGAAGGCAGGAAGAGAACTCAAAAATAGGAGGAGAGAACGAAAGGGGGAATGCTGAGGTGGGGGATGGGTGGGAGAAGTTCAGAGTTTTTTTCCTTCTTTTCAGACAAGCATTTTGTGTAACATGGTGTAGTCATTTGTCTACTCGTGTAATATGATGGTGTAATATCATGTACACTTTTGGTAAATTCTTCTTAATAAACGAGAGAAGGGATTTTAGGGCGTAGGGAGAATGGGAGAAGGGGGAGTGGAGGGAGAATGAGAGAGGAGGAGGTGGAGGGAAAATTGGCAAGAGAGGGGTGGATGGAGAGTTTGAGAGAGGCGAGTGGAGGGGGAATTGGAAAAGGGGAGGTGAAGGGAGAATTAGAGAGAGGGAGGGTTGAGGGGGAACGGAAGAGGGGCGGGTGGAGGGAGGAAGGGAGAGAGGGGGGTGGCGGGAGAATGGCTGCACAGGTTGGTGAGTGCGGTGAGGTTGCCAATGGCGGCGGGAATGGTGCCACCCAGGCTATTGCTCAACACCTGCCTGCAGTGTGGTGGCACGGGATGGCATGGGATGGGACGGGATGGCATTTGGTGGCTTGGGGCGGCATGGGATGGCATGGGATGGCATGGCATGGCATGCGGTGGCAACATAAGCAAAGCTCCAGATTTGAAGATGCCTACATACCGGAGCCATTGCAAAGGCACAAGAGGCTTTTGACAAAGGAGTGGAGTGGAGTCACGAAGCAGGAGGCACGGCTCCTCCTCCTCCTCAAGACGCTCGCATTGCAATGCTTTCCCAGCGAGTGAGTTGTGGCATGGGGCAACAATGGCTTGCAGAACTCAGAATGCACTCTTATGAGGCGCCTCAAAAGACAGAATGCACTCTTATGAGGCGCCTCAAAAGACAGAATGCACTCTTATGAGTCGCCTCAAAAGACAGAATGCACTCTTAGAGCAACTTGATTCAAACCAAACCCAGCCAAGCCACGGCAGCAAAGGAGTGAATAAATGAGCAGGTTAGCGTCGGTTGGTTGGAGCACCACCTTTCCGTCATCCCCACACACATCCCACTTCCTTACAGATCGTGCAGGCTGGTGAGCGCTCCTATTAACTCGGGGATGGGCCCTGTCAGATTGCCCTCAAAGAGGTATCTGCGGTCAAGTGCGGCACAGTGCGGTGGCATGTGGGATTGAGAGAGGCGGTGAAGAGGAGCGGTAGAGGTTGGGTGTGGGAAGATTGATAATGCATGGCCTCACATGCATGTGTCAGTTATGCATGTGCGTGCAGTGCATGTGTGTGCAGTGCATGTGTGTGCAGTGCATGTGTGTGCAGTGCATGTGTGTGCAGTGCATGTGTGTGCAGTGCATGTGTGTGCAGTGCATGTGTGTGCAGTGCATGTGTGTGCAGTGCATGTGTGTGCAGTGCATGTGTGTGCAGTGCATGTGTGTGCAGTGCATGTGTGTGCAGTGCATGTGTGTGCAGTGCATGTGTGTGCAGTGCATGTGTGTGCAGTGCATGTGTCTTGCAATGCACCACTCACAACTTCCGCAGCTGCTTGAGGCTGCTGATTGCCTCTGGAATGGAGCCTGGAACGCTGTTGTAAGAGACATAGATATGCCTGGCGCATGGAGAGGGTTGAACAGAAGCAGGGAGGAGGGAAGCGCAGAGAGGGGGGGGCAATCACCGGAGAGGGAAGGCCGGAAGGGAATGGATGGGTAAGAGGAGAGAAGCGAAGGGGGAAGATGAAAAGGGAATTGAAGAAGCTGTTGGGAGCAGTGCAGAGAAATGTACTAAAAACTCAGAGGCGAGTTAAGACGTGACAAGGACAAGCAGTATATGGATTGCCGATGTTGCATGGCAGATGGTGCATGGCAGACGGTGCATGGCAGCACGCACAGAGAAGTCAAGTTTGTGAGGCTGAAGATCCACGCAGGCAGCTCCCCAGACAGATGCTCATGAGCCGACAAGTGCCTGATGATGCGCGCAGTAAAGAGAAGAGGAGCAGCCATGAGGCAAGGAGCGGCCAAGAGGCAAGGAGCGGCCAAGAGGCAAGGAGCAGCCAAGAGGCAAGGATCAGCCAAGAGGCAAGGAGCAGCCAAGAGGCAAGGAGCAGCCAAGAGGCAAGGAGCAGCCAAGAGGCAAGGAGCAGCCAAGAGGCAAGGAGCAGCCAAGAGGCAAGGAGCAGCCAAGAGGCAAGGAGCAGCCAAGAGGCAAGGAGCAGCCAAGAGGCAAGGAGCAGCCAAGAGGCAAGGAGCAGCCAAGAGGCAAGGAGCAGCCAAGAGGCAAGGAGCAGCCAAGAGGCAAGGAGCAGCCAAGAGGCAAGGAGCAGCCAAGAGGCAAGGAGCAGCCAAGAGGCAAGGAGCAGCCAAGAGGCAAGGAGCAGCCAAGAGGCAAGGAGCAGCCAAGAGGCAAGGAGCAGCCAAGAGGCAAGGAGCAGCCAAGAGGCAAGGAGCAGCCAAGAGGCAAGGAGCAGCCAAGAGGCAAGGAGCAGCCAAGAGGCAAGGAGCAGCCAAGAGGCAAGGAGCAGCCAAGAGGCAAGGAGCAGCCAAGAGGCAAGGAGCAGCCAAGAGGCAAGGAGCAGCCAAGAGGCAAGGAGCAGCCAAGAGGCAAGGAGCAGCCAAGAGGCAAGGAGCAGCCAAGAGGCAAGGAGCAGCCAAGAGGCAAGGAGCAGCCAAGAGGCAAGGAGCAGCCAAGAGGGCAAGGAGCAGCCAAGAGGCAAGGAGCAGCCAAGAGGGCAAGGAGCAGCCAAGAGGCAAGGAGCAGCCAAGAGGCAAGGAGCAGCCAAGCGGCCAAGGAAGCAGCAAAGAGGCAAGGAGCAGCCAAGAGGCAAGGAGCAGCCAAGAGGCAAGGAGCAGCCAAGAGGCAAGGAGCAGCCAAGAGGCAAGGAGCAGCCAAGAGGCAAGGAGCAGCCAAGAGGCAAGGAGCAGCCAAGAGGCAAGGAGCAGGGAAAACGGGTAGGAGAGGGACGACGGGGAAGACGAAACTAAAGAGCGAGGAGAAAACAAGAAGGGAGAGAGCACGGAAGGAGGGAACATGGCAGAGCTATGTGGAACATGGCAGAGCTATGTGGTAACACTGGCAGAGCGTATGTGGGGAACATGGCAGAGCTATGTGGAACATGGCAGAGCTATGTGGAACATGGCAGAGCTATGTGGAACATGGCAGAGCTATGTGGAACATGGCAGAGCTATGTGGAACATGGCAGAGCTATGTGGAACATGGCAGAGCTATGTGGAACATGGCAGAGCTATGTGGAACATGGCAGAGCTATGTGGAACATGGCAGAGCTATGTGGAACATGGCAGAGCTATGTGGAACATGGCAGAGCTATGTGGAACATGGCAGAGCTATGTGGAACATGGCAGAGCTATGTGGAACATGGCAGAGCTATGTGGAACATGGCAGAGCTATGTGGAACATGGCAGAGCTATGTGGAACATGGCAGAGCTATGTGGAACATGGCAGAGCTATGTGGAACATGGCAGAGCTATGTGGAACATGGCAGAGCTATGTGGAACATGGCAGAGCTATGTGGAACATGGCAGAGCTATGTGGAACATGGCAGAGCTATGTGGAACATGGCAGAGCTATGTGGAACATGGCAGAGCTATGTGGAACATGGCAGAGCTATGTGGAACATGGCAGAGCTATGTGGAACATGGCAGAGCTATGTGGAACATGGCAGAGCTATGTGGAACATGGCAGAGCTATGTGGAACATGGCAGAGCTATGTGGAACATGGCAGAGCTATGTGGAACATGGCAGAGCTATGTGGAACATGGCAGAGCTATGTGGAACATGGCAGAGCTATGTGGAACATGGCAGAGCTATGTGGAACATGGCAGAGCTATGTGGAACATGGCAGAGCTATGTGGAACATGGCAGAGCTATGTGGAACATGGCAGAGCTATGTGGAACATGGCAGAGCTATGTGGAACATGGCAGAGCTATGTGGAACATGGCAGAGCTATGTGGAACATGGCAGAGCTATGTGGAACATGGCAGAGCTATGTGGAACATGGCAGAGCTATGTGGAACATGGCAGAGCTATGTGGAACATGGCAGAGCTATGTGGAACATGGCAGAGCTATGTGGAACATGGCAGAGCTATGTGGAACATGGCAGAGCTATGTGGAACATGGCAGAGCTATGTGGAACATGGCAGAGCTATGTGGAACATGGCAGAGCTATGTGGAACATGGCAGAGCTATGTGGAACATGGCAGAGCTATGTGGAACATGGCAGAGCTATGTGGAACATGGCAGAGCTATGTGGAACATGGCAGAGCTATGTGGAACATGGCAGAGCTATGTGGAACATGGCAGAGCTATGTGGAACATGGCAGAGCTATGTGGAACATGGCAGAGCTATGTGGAACATGGCAGAGCTATGTGGAACATGGCAGAGCTATGTGGAACATGGCAGAGCTATGTGGAACATGGCAGAGCTATGTGGAACATGGCAGAGCTATGTGGAACATGGCAGAGCTATGTGGAACATGGCAGAGCTATGTGGAACATGGCAGAGCTATGTGGAACATGGCAGAGCTATGTGGAACATGGCAGAGCTATGTGGAACATGGCAGAGCTATGTGGAACATGGCAGAGCTATGTGGAACATGGCAGAGCTATGTGGAACATGGCAGAGCTATGTGGAACATGGCAGAGCTATGTGGAACATGGCAGAGCTATGTGGAACATGGCAGAGCTATGTGGAACATGGCAGAGCTATGTGGAACATGGCAGAGCTATGTGGAACATGGCAGAGCTATGTGGAACATGGCAGAGCTATGTGGAACATGGCAGAGCTATGTGGAACATGGCAGAGCTATGTGGAACATGGCAGAGCTATGTGGAACATGGCAGAGCTATGTGGAACATGGCAGAGCTATGTGGAACATGGCAGAGCTATGTGGAACATGGCAGAGCTATGTGGAACATGGCAGAGCTATGTGGAACATGGCAGAGCTATGTGGAACATGGCAGAGCTATGTGGAACATGGCAGAGCTATGTGGAACATGGCAGAGCTATGTGGAACATGGCAGAGCTATGTGGAACATGGCAGAGCTATGTGGAACATGGCAGAGCTATGTGGAACATGGCAGAGCTATGTGGAACATGGCAGAGCTATGTGGAACATGGCAGAGCTATGTGGAACATGGCAGAGCTATGTGGAACATGGCAGAGCTATGTGGAACATGGCAGAGCTATGTGGAACATGGCAGAGCTATGTGGAACATGGCAGAGCTATGTGGAACATGGCAGAGCTATGTGGAACATGGCAGAGCTATGTGGAACATGGCAGAGCTATGTGGAACATGGCAGAGCTATGTGGAACATGGCAGAGCTATGTGGAACATGGCAGAGCTATGTGGAACATGGCAGAGCTATGTGGAACATGGCAGAGCTATGTGGAACATGGCAGAGCTATGTGGAACATGGCAGAGCTATGTGGAACATGGCAGAGCTATGTGGAACATGGCAGAGCTATGTGGAACATGGCAGAGCTATGTGGAACATGGCAGAGCTATGTGGAACATGGCAGAGCTATGTGGAACATGGCAGAGCTATGTGGAACATGGCAGAGCTATGTGGAACATGGCAGAGCTATGTGGAACATGGCAGAGCTATGTGGAACATGGCAGAGCTATGTGGAACATGGCAGAGCTATGTGGAGGGAGCATGTGAATTTTCCCTTTCATGCTGCGGTGCCATGCACAATTCCTCACATGCCCTTCAGGCTTCGCACAGCCGGTAGGGTGCCATCACATGCCATCCCATGCCATCCCATGCCATCACATGCCATCCCATGCCATCACATGCCATCCCATGCCATCACATGCCATCACATGCCATCACATGCCATCCCATGCCATCCCATGCCATCACATGCCATCCCATGCCATCACATGCCATCACATGCCATCACATGCCATCACATGCCATCCCATACCATCCCATGCCATCACATGCCATCCCATGCCATCACATGCCATCCCATGCCATCACATGCCCCTCACCCAGCCTTACAGAGACAGCAGCTTCTGCAGCTGGGAGAGCTGCTCTGGTAGTGACTCCAGTAGATTGTTCGCCTCCAATTGCCTGCTTGCAACACGCATTCACCATGCGTGCACCATGCATGCACCATGCACGCACCATGGGGGGTTTATGTTTTAGGGATTCTGGTTGAAAGCTGACCCAGAAATATTTGTCGGTGGTAACCGGTTTCTGATTAAAGCCGACCCAAAAGAACAAGGACTGTTGACCAGAGGCTGTTAACAAGAGTGTGAAGAAAAGAAACGTGTAGCAGACAATGCAGTTGAGAGTAAGGGCGCGTGTCTTTTGCTGGTAACCGGTTTCGTTAACTTCGTCTAGGGCTCTTTGCGAGAATAGTGTGTTCAAAGATTGATGAAACCGAAGGACAACGAACTGGGGACGAATTTTCACGTGCCCGGTTATCCAAACGTGTGTTCTTCCTCTCGTGCAGAGTGAATTTGCGAGTTTTGCGAGAGTAACGACGCACAACGTACCACGTTACTAAATTGGGATTCGATCACGAGCTACGCAGTCAAGCCACGTAACCTACGAAATTTGTGCGCGACTCGGGTTTTACTGTATAAAGTCGAACTTCGTTGTTACCCTTGCTTGATTCGAAAGGTGAGGAAAAAATTGCCCTCCAAAAGTCGAGATGGTCGACTACAAGTCGACCAGAGTTCAAACGGGGAAATTCAAGAAAAAAACATGAACTTTACAATAAATTTCAAAAGACACGCGCCCTAAAGAGATCATGGAAACGGGCTGTGAGGGGCCAGATGGGGTGTGAGGGGCCAGATGGGGTGTGAGGGGCCAGATGGACATGGAGTCGACACAAATCCCGGTGGAGGAACAACGCTGTAAGCCTCATCTTGCTCCATCCCTCCACATGCACCCTGTCATCCTCTCATCCTCGAATTGGCATACCCAACCACCCACCCACTCCAACCCCCCCACCTGCTGCACCCCACCCTCCTTCCCCCCTTCCCCTCCCCTCCCCCCAAGCGCACTGACAGGCGGGTGAGCTGCTGCAGATTGCCCAGTTCTTTCGGAACGGAAGCTTTGAGATTGCCGTGAGAGGCGGTGCTGCTGCATTGATGGGCCGTGGCAGGCAGGCATGGGGGAGAGGGTAGGGAGGGGAGACGGCAGGGAGGGGAGACGGCAGGGAGGGGAGACGGTGAAAGCAGGGAGGGGAAAGTCAGATATAGCACGAGGGATGATGGCAGCAGACGAAGCGGTGGGAGGGGACCCGATAGACAGAAAAGGAAGGGGTGTGGTAGGTATGCAGCTGGGCATGCAGTTGGGCATGCACATGCAGGTAGAAAAGAGGGCGGCTGATGCAAAACAGATGGGCCTCAGTACTGTCACAGCCCGTGATAGAAAGAAGAGGGAGGTGCACGAGAGAAGAGGGAGGGAGGTGCACGAGAGAAAAGGGAAGTGCATGAGAGAAGACGGAAGTGCATGAGAGAAGAGAGAGATACATGAGAGAATAGATTGAACTGACTGGCCAGTCGGAAAAGAGATGATTGGTGTATCCGGGAAAAAATGATTGCAAAACTTCAAATCACTGCAAGCAGTCAGCACACGCAATGGTGGTGGGGTGGGTGGGTAGGTGGGTGGGTGGATGGGTGGGTGGATGGATGGATGGATGGATGGATGGATGGATGGATGGATGGATGGATGGATGGATGGATGGATGGATGGATGGATGGATGGATGGATGGATGGATGGATGGATGGATGGATGGATGGATGGATGGATGGATGGATGGATGGATGGATGGATGGATGGATGGATGGATGGATGGATGGATGGATGGATGGATGGATGGATGGATGGATGGATGGATGGATGGATGGATGGATGGATGAATGGATGGATAAGGATAACCGTGGTAAGGGAAAGGGAGGGACAGAGACAGTACAAGAAAAGAAAACTCTGCCTACGCACGTCTAAGTCACTGCAAGCAAGGATAAGTCAGTGCAAGCAAGGCCAAAATTTGAAAAGCAAGGGAAAATGCGAGAAAGTGGAGGAAAGTGGGGGATAGAACGAGTGAGTGTCACGAGCGAGGGAGAGTGGAGACGAAGGAGTCTCACAGATCCTTGAGATGTGACAATGCGAGGAGAGCCGTGGGTAGTGAGCTGTTGTCGGTGCACGCACTGATAGAGCTGTGCGGGGAGAAGGATGGCATCGAGGGACGGAATGGAGTGGAAGGAGGGAATGGAAGGAGGGAGAACCGAAGTCGATTCAACAACTGGTTTCGCAGATGCAAAAAGAGCAGAAACAAAGGCAAGGGGATACAGTGAAACGACATGCTTACAGTGCAGTGACATGCTTACAGTGCAATGCCATGCTTACAGCACAATGACATGCTTACAGTACAATGATATGCTTACAGTGCATTGACATGCTTACGGTGCAATGCCATGCTTACAGCACAATGACATGCTTACAGTACAATGATATGCTTACAGTGCAATGACATGCTTACAGTGCAATGACATGCTTACAGTGCAATGACATGCTTACAGTGCATTGACATGCTTACAGTGCAATGACATGCTTACAGTGCAATGACATGCTTACAGTGCATTGACATGCTTACAGTGCAATAACATGCTTACAGTGCAATGGCATGCTTACAATGGAATGGCATGCTTACAGTGCAATGACACGCTTACAGTGCAATGACACATTTACAATGCTATGACATGCTTACTATGCAATGACATGCTTACAGTGCAATGATATGCTTACAATGCAATGACATGCTTACAGTTACAATGGAATGGCATGCTTACAGTGCAATGACACGCTTACAGTGCAATGACACGCTTACAGTGCAATGACATGCTTACAGTGCAATGACATGATTACACTGCAATGACATGCTTACAATGCAATGGCATGCTTACAGTGCAATGACATGCTTACAGCGCAATGACATGCTTACAGTGCAATGATATGCCTACAATGCAATGGCATGCTTATAGTGCAATGACATGCTTGCAATGCAATGGCATGCTTACACTGCAATGGCATGCTTACTTACAGTGCAATGACATGCTTACTTAAAGTGCAATGACATGCTTACAGTGCAATGATATGCTTACAATGCAATGATATGCTTACAATTCAATGACATGCTTACTTACAGTGCAATGACATGCTTACAGTGCAATGACATGCTTACACTGTAATGACATGCTTACATACAGTGCAATGACATGCTTACTTACAGTGCAATGACATGCTTATAGTGCAATGACATGCTTACAGTTCAATGACATGCTTACAGTGCAATGACATGCTTACAGTGCAATGACATGCTTACAGTGCAATGACATGCTTACAGTGCAATGACATGCTTACAGTGCAATGACATGCTTACAGTGCAATGACATGCCCATCGCCATCACATCGCACGCCATCCAAGCTGTCGCAATCCTCACCCCTGGTCCATGTGCTCCTATCCTCAAAGTCGTTCCATTTTTGTGGTAGATTCTCCAAAATTTCCACTGCCATCCATCCATACCACCCAAGGCGGCATGCCATGCCACAGAACGTGTTGGAAACATGATTTCCAAGGGAGAGGGAAGAGGGATTGAGGTGTGGATGGCAGGAGGGGCAGCTGCAACCAGCAGTGAGCTCAACATGATAGTGCAAGCTGCAACACGGATTTGTTAGAGGGCCCTACAACAGCAAGGCCCCTCACAAAGGGTTTAACTTGGCAGGTCGACAAGCTGACGACCAAGACTTCTAGTTCTTGGCACCGACAAATGTGATTCAGTAAAAGTCACGATGGACCAAATGTGACTACGAGCTGCTCCGTAGGAGGTTGTGTTGGATGGCGTGAGTCTTTAGGAGTCGTTGGTGCTTGTTTGAGAGTCACGCCACTCCTTGCTGTGTTGGTGGAGTGGCGTGCACAAAAGCGGGAATTCGATGGTGAGTTGGGTTGGAATTGAGCGAGGCGCGTTCGCTTTCGTGGGGTTGGGCTACCCCGCAGCGCCACGCAACCTTGTGTGAACTCTCGTCTGCCTATATCTATTTGTGTGTTTGCTTTGTATGCATGAGTCATATTTTTACAATCTCTACTTGGATTCTTCCTTAGTCATTTGAGACGAACTCTACCAAAACTCTAACGAGTTGTTGACACAACATCGTTCACTTAGTCATTTTTTCCTTACTCTCTCGTTGTTGCTGCACTCTCCATATTATTCCTTCAGGATAACCCTCAGCGTGTCACGGCTTACTCTCGTGTGTGATGAGGAGGAGGTCGAGAAAGAACGGCTTACTCTCGGCTTAACGGCTTACTCTCGGCTTAACGGCTTACTCTCGGCTTAACGGCTTACTCTCGGCTTAACGGCGTACTCTCGGCTTAACGGCTTACTCTCGGCTTAACGGCTTACTCTCGGCTTAACGGCTTACTCTCGGCTTAACGGCTTACTCTCGGCTTAACGGCTTACTCTCGGCCTAACGGCTTACTCTCGGCTTAACGGCTTACTCTCGGCTTAACGGCTTACTCTCGGCTTAACGGCTTACTCTCGGCTTAACGGCGTACTCTCGGCTTAACGGCTTACTCTCGGCTTAACGGCTTACTCTCGGCTTAACGGCTTACTCTCGGCTTAACGGCTTACTCTCGGCTTAACGGCTTACTCTCGGCTTAACGGCTTACTCTCGGCTTAACGGCTTACTCTCGGCTTAACGGCTTACTCTCGGCTTAACGGCTTACTCTTGGCGTCCACCACGGGAGCAGCGCGTGCGAGGGGCATGCAGCAGAGCGCCACCACCAGCGCCACCACCCATCACAAAAATTGAAGGTCTGAAACCCTACCGGTTGGGGTCCATTTGAGATCCTGTTGGGGTCTTTTCATGATCTAGCAAAAAGATTCATTTGGATGGTGACGAAGTCTGGACCAAAATGGGATCTTTCAATTTTGGTGATGCCGCCGCTCTCGCCGCCATTGTGACGCCGCCGCGCCTCGCCATCAGCAGGGATGGTTAGCTGCCGATACGGACCTCTTGTTGCATGCTAAATAGGGTTACGGTCCTGGGGTGGTATGGCACATGGCAGGGCGGCTTACACGGGACATCCGGCTGTCAAAAGGAGGATGTTGGAGGAATAAATAGCGTGCAGCACGGCTTACTGTCAGCGTGCACCACGGGAGCAGCGCGTGCGAGGGGCATGCAGCAGCGCGCCACCACCAGCGCCACCACCGCTGCTCTCACCGCCATCGTGACGTCGCCGCGCCTCCTCATCGCCGCGGCGCAACGCGGGCCCATCAATGCTCTCCGCGCTCGCTGTCCGCCGTGTGCTCGTTTGCCGTCGCCGATGCCCGCCGATGCCGTTCGGCGAACGCACCCACCGGCGAACGTGTCGGTCTTAACCCGACGCTCTGCACGCACGCCTTTGCCGAACGCCCTGCACACGGCACGCCTTGCTAACGCGCGTGACCCGTACGGTGGGATTGCGATAGATTCGTTGCTATTGCGTTGCTAATACTCAAGGCTTGAGCCGTTGCGTGTGCGCTTTGCAGGGCGGCCCAGGGGTCGTGAGCAAAACAATACTCCTAACTAGTCTCTGCCCCGTTCCACTGCTGCTATAGGATCAATGGTGACTGCAAATCTCGTGTACAAATTCAGCTGAATGGGGACTGCAGTAATTGTCTCGAACACGCTATCAATGCTGAGTGTGGAGGCATCTGTAGACGGGAATCGCGCTGAGTGAATCGAGAATAATGGGATGGTTGGTTTGGTTGGTGTGGTCGTTGAATGTTAGCTCGCGCAGCCAATCTTACCACAGAAGCGTTTCGGATATCTGCAAAACGCTCTGAACCGCACAGCAGCGTCGGCGTTTCTTGAATCAAAAGCTCCGAAGAAATTGAAGACTTGGACTGACCAGTGTGGTTGGTGGGGAAAAGCGTAGTGGTGCGGAGATTAACGCGTTACAGTGAAAATCCAGATATAATAGGGTTGTGTCCAAACTCCAATATGTTCGTCCATTTGGCCTAATTGGCTATGTGTAGTCTAGTATGAAATGTGGGTGGAGACTTGATGATAGATGTAGACTAGGGAAAACATACCAACACATATAGCATGCAAGTGCGAATCCATTTATTTGTTGAACATTCTGGAAATCCTAACTACGGTATCGGCAACACTACATCACTCCCAATGAGACGGCACCCTCGGTGCCCATTGAGCGAAGGTAACTTGGAGGCAACCTTGGTCTGGAGACAGGAAAAATTACTCAGAATTGTCGCGCCAACGGGCCTATAAACTGGTGAAAGCGAGACCCCTGAGGCGGTGATGGTGGTGATAGACAATGCGTGGGACATGATATCAAGTATGCAACTCAAGAACAACACCATCGTATCGTATTTATGGTACCATATCACATGGATACGGTTATTGAAGGTGCATATCTTGTTGCCAATATCATTCCTGCATTCACGTGGGCACTAGCAAGTGATCTCCACACCCATGGCAGCTTGCCGGGCAGCAAGGGCTCTCTTTGAAAAGAAGTAGCGTGTGGGGGGTCGATTCTTGAGGCGCCTCAGCAACTGCGACACTGTGAAGGCCAGTAGCAGCAGCACCGCCAGTGGAAGCATGAGCAGCAGCAGCAGCAGCAGCAGCAGCAGCAGCAGCAGCAGCAGGTTTTGAGGCGCCTGGAGACCAGACAGAGGACTCCCCAGGGCTGCAGTGCCTGGTGGCTCAGAGGGTGGGTTGGGGAAAGAGAGAGTGGCGGGGATTGGTGTCGGCCGGGTGAGGAAGGAGAGCAAGAGGAGTTGGGGGAAGGGATGTGAGTGCAGAGGAGAAGGGAAGCGGCGGAGCAGGAGCAGAGGTACTGGCGCAAGGGGGGTTGACTGGTGTGAGCAGTGCAGATGGGCTACAGGCAGTGCAGATGGGCTACAGGCAGTGCAGATGGGCTACAGGCAGTGCTGATGGGCTACAGGCAGTGCTGATGGGAGGTTGTGGGTGCGTTGACTCTCCACAGAAACACGCCCTTCCAGCAATGTGGCAAACAGGCACGTTGGCAAGCAGGCACATTCGCAAGCAGGCATGTTGGCAAGCAGGCATGTTGGCAAGCAGGCACGTTGGCAAGCAGGCATGTTGGCAAGCAGGCATGTTGGCAAGCAGGCATGTTGGCAAGCAGGCATGTTGGCAAGCAGGGATTGAAAGACAAGATGCAGCAAGGACGAGCTTATGAGGAGAAAGGAACATAAAAAGAGAATGACCATCAGCTAGGGAGCGCATTCATCAGCAGGCATACCGTGAGGGACGCACGTGCCAGCAGCAGTCCCTGGCGTGTACCCCTCATCACAGACGCACTGGCCCTCGGGTTCACAGTAGCGTGGCGGCGGCTTATCGTCATAATCATCCTCACAGGCAGCCATGTTGTGAGAGGAGTCAGGCACAAAGGAGCACACGCCATGGCCGCTGCACGGCGAGGTGAGCGGCTGCGCCCCACAGAACGCCCGGCACTCGCTGGCACGCCTCTGAACCCGCCCACGGCCGCAGTAGATGGAGCTGTTTTCAAGGCAGTTGTGGTGGAACAGACACAAGCTGTGGTAGTCTGCAGGATTGTCTAGGCCGGTGGCGTCGAAAGGGACAGCGTCTGCTGTGGCGGTGAGGTAGTTGTGGTCTGCAGACAGCTCTCCGTAATGGGGCATGAGGTGGAAGGAGGGCAGCTCTCCCGTAAGCTGGTTGTTGTCAAGGTGGCTGTGATGCCAAGGGAAGGTGGGAGGGGACGAGGTGGGAAGAGTAGGAGTGAGTGGTGAGGAGAAGAAGCGTTGGGATGAGAACGAGGAAGCAAGTGGATGGCAATCGTTGAAAAAATGCTGAAGAGATTGGGACTGTTTAATTCATGATGTGGCCTTCAGCAAGCAGAAAAAATAAGACGTGTGGATGGCAAAAAGGAAGAGACGTGTGGATGGCAAAAAGGAAGAGACGTGTGGATGGCAAAAAGGAAAAGACGTGTGGCGGGAGAAAGCGAGGTGATGCGAGCCGTAGGGGTTGCGTTTCATAGAGAAGAAGCTATGGGAAGCACTGAGAATCGTTAGAGATGAGTGCACGAGATGGCATTAGTGACTGGAGCTCACGGCTAGAGTTGAGTGCACGAGCTTTAGCAAAGCCTAAGCAAGAGGAAAATCAGAAGACAAGCCTTTGAGTCGACTCAGCAGGTAACACAGCCAGGTTGTCTTTCAGACTAACACAACACACTCACACACCACCACCATTCAAAGGTGATGCTTGAGTGTGGTGAGAATCAAGGAGGGAACACTGAATTACAGCCAATGGAGATTAGTGAGTGTGGTGATTGCAGCGGGTATCGTCCCCGCAAGGCGGTTTTTGCTGAGTTTCCTGAAGACAGGTGGATGAATGGACATGGCGGGAAAGAGAGACGGAGAGGGGAAGAGGTGATGAGGAGAAGAGGAGAGGGTAGGAAGAGGGGAAGAGAAGAACAGGAGAACAGGAGGACAGGACAGGGGGAAGGTGGAGAAGAGAAGAGGAGAAGAGGGGAAGTTAAGAAGGGTAAAATAAGAAGAAGAGGAGGGGAGAAGAGAAGAGGAGAAGAAGGCAGATATGGTGAGATGGGATGGGATGGGATCGGATGGGATGGGATGGAAAGGCATGGCATGGGATGGGATGGCTATTGCAATAACTGATAGGGATCTTCTCACAGAAGTCGAAGAAACTCAAACAGCCACTCTCACTCACAAACTCACCCACTCTCTTCCTCTCTCAGCCCCTCACTCACCCACCCGTTCACTCACTGAAGGCTACCACACCTGATCATCCCACAGCACCTTGCATGCCTACCCCATCACCACTCACAACCGCTTCAGCTGCTTGAGGCTGCTGATTGCCTCTGGAATGGAGCCTGAGAGTTTGTTTTCGTTGAGGTTCCTGGAGTGTGGAGAGCACAGGGGGGTTGTGTCACAAATAACTGGGTGATCCTCTCAGCATTTACATTTTATTGATCGAATTTGTATTAGATTTACGATAAACTGTTGTTGAAAACGGAGAGAAGGGAATCTTAGGTCGAGGAAAAGATAGGCACACATAGAAAAGCATGTAGTGTTATGGCAAATCCCTTCTGATTACGCGAAGAAAGAAAGATCAGCAGATAGGGAGAGATGGGGATGGCTGGAGAATGGGAGAGATGGGGATTCCAGGAAACGGGCGCACAAGGTGGTGAGTGCGGTGAGGTTGCCAATGCAGGCGGGAATGGTGCCACTCAGCCTGTTGCTGTCTCGAAGCTGCCTGCCATGTGGAGGTATGGGATGGCATGGGATGGCATGGGATGGTATGGGATGGCATGGGATGGCATGGGATGGTATGGGATGGCATGGGATGGCATGGGATGGTATGGGATGGCATGGGATGGTATGGGATGGTATGGGATGGCATGGGATGGCATGGGATGGTATGGGATGGCATGGGATGGTATGGGATGGTATGGGATGGTATGGGATGGCATGGGATGGTATGGGATGGTATGGGATGGTATGGGATGGTATGGGATGGCATGGGATGGCATGGGATGGCATGGGATGGCATGGGATGGTATGGGATGGCATGGGATGGTATGGGATGGTATGGGATGGCATGGGATGGTATGGGATGGTATGGGATGGCATGGGATGGCATGGGATGGTATGGGATGGTATGGGATGGCATGGGATGGTATGGGATGGTATGGGATGGTATGGGATGGTATGGGATGGCATGGGATGGTATGGGATGGCATGGGATGGCATGGGATGGTATGGGATGGTATGGGATGGCGTGGAATGGCATGGGATGGTATGGGATGGTATGGGATGGCGTGGGATGGCATGGGATGGTATGGGATGGCGTGGCATGGGTGGCAGCTAATGTCACTGGGGGACGTGGTGCATTCAAAGCAATTGGGAACAAAAGGCCACACGGTATGAAGACACGAGCAAAGTTCCAACGACCCGAGTGGGCCACACACAAGAGCCACTGCAATGGCCCAAGGGACATTCGGAACAGGACAGGAGCACGTACCAGCGCTCTCCTTCTCAAGACCCACGGCTTGCAGGGCTTTCCATTCCAATCCGGTTGCCTGGTACGGTGATTTATGGCACCAGGCAACAATCCCTTGCAGTTCTTTCCAGTCCGGTTGACCTGACCTGACCCGGCGGCATCCGGCAGCAATGGCTTGCGTGATTCGGAATGATTGATTAGAGCAACTTGATACAAACCAGACCACGCCAGGAACTGCATAATTGAAACGACCAGGTTGAACATGGTTGGTAGAACATTGTTGGTTGGAGCACCAGCTTGATCCCGGCGTGGTGCGCATTGCTCTTTCTTACAGATCTTCCAGGTTGGTGAGCGCTCCTATTGACTTGGGGATGGTCCCTGACAGCATTTTCTCCCCAAGGTGTCTGTGGCACGGCGAGGTGAGGCACAGCGAGGTGAGGCACAGCGAGGTGAGGCACAGCGAGGCGAAGTGTGGCACAGAGAGGAGCAGTGGCGATGGAGGTTGGGCTTGGGAAGGTTGATTGATAATGAATGGCCTCACATGCTCCGGCAGCAGTGCATGTGCCTGCAGCATGAGATTGCAGCATATGTGTGCAGCATGTGATTGCAGTGCTTTTGTGCTTCTTTCTCATGGGAGCACATTGCCTCATTCACCCTGCAGTGCCATCGCTATGCACTCACTCACTTAGTCACTCACTTGCATACTCATTCAGTTTCTCACTCACTTATACACTCGATCACTCACTCACTCAGCAACTCATCCACCCAAACGCTCAATGACCTATGGGGCTACCACACCTGATCATCCCACAGCACCTTGCATGCCTACCCCATCACCACTCACAACTCCCGCAGCTGCTTGAGGCTGCTGATTGCCTCTGGAATGGAGCCTGAAAAGTTGTTCTTCCGAATAGTCCTGGTATATGGAGAGGGTGGTGGGGGCGCGGGGGGGGGGGGTTGGAACCAGGGAGGAGGGAAGCGCAGAGAGGGGAGGGGAACCGTTAACCATGGAAGGTGAGGAAGAAAGGTATGGGTAAGAGGGGAAAAAGGACAGGGGAAGATGAAAAGGGGTTGGGAGCAGTGCAGAGGTGTGTAATGTTGAGAGCTAATATTGAAAAGTGGTTCGGAGCCTCCTGAACTGAAATCGAATGGTATTATATGGAAATGGTGACAAGGGCACGATTTATATGGATAAGGATGCTTTATGCGTTATGGTGCATGGCATGGGAGGTGGTGCATGACAGCACGCACAATGAAGTCAAGTCTGTGAGTCTGAAGATCCACGCAGGCAGCTCCCCAGACAGATGTCTATGCCACGACAAGTCCCTGATGGTGTAAAAGAGGGGAAGTTGCGGGGAAGGGGGGATGTCGAACCCGAGGAAGGGCACGGTGAACATGGAGTGCGAGGAAAACAACAGAAGCGAGGGAGCATGGCACAAGGAGGCAGCATGGCTTATAAAAAAAAGGATTCCATCACTTACCATCACATGCCATCCCATGCCATCCCATGCCATCGAATGCCATAACATGCCATCACATGCCATCACATGCCATCGCATGCCATCACATGCCATCACATGCCATCACATGCAATCACATGCCATCACATGCCATCACATGCCATCCCATGCCATCCCATGCCATCCCATGCCATCCCATGCCATCCCATGCCATCCCATGCCATCCCATGCCATCACATGCCATCCCATGCCATCCCATGCCATCCCATGCCATCACATGCCATCACATGCCATCACATGCCATCACATGCCATCCCATGCCATCCCATGCCATCCCATGCCATCACATGCCATCCCATACCATCCCATGCCATCACATGCCATCACATGCCATCACATGCCCCTCACCCGGCCTTACAGAGACTGCAGCTTCTGCAGCTGGGAGAGCTGCTCTGGTAGTGAGTCCAGTAGATCGTTTGATAAAAAATTCCTGCTTGCACCATGCATGCACCATGCATACATCATCCATGCACCATTCATGCACCATGCATGCACCATGCATGCACCATGCATGCACCATACATGCACCACCCATGCACCATCCATGCACCATCCATGCACCACCCATGCACCATCCATGCACCATGCATGCACCATGCATGCACCATGCATGCACCATCCATGCACCATGCATGTGAAGGGTTTAGCAACATCAGTATGCACTGCAGCGACGAGGGAAGGGTTGACCTCCAGAGGCTGTTGACCAGATGGAGTGTGAGTGAGGGAGGGACCAGAATAAAGTCGACGCAGCGTGAGCTGGAGTAGTAACGATGTGACCCTCATCTTGCTCCATTGCTTATTCTCACTCTCCCACCTCAATCATATACTCATCTGAGTCTCACCCTCTCTCACCCACTCGAATGGACCTTCATTAGTTATGGTGGTCAATACAGCACAATAGGATAGTTAGTACAAGCATACGCAGCAAGGAAAGACGAAGAGGGGGAAAGGAACTCGCATCCCCACTCATTCCATCCCCACGTGCATCCCTCCCTCTCCCGCTAGCACACTCACAAGTGAGTGATCTGCTGCAGATTGCCCAGCCCTTGCAGCATGGAGCCTTTAAGATTGCTCGTGTACAGGGCAGGGTCGTCGCTGGTGCATGGTTGGAATGACAGCAGGCACGGCGGCGAGAACGTAGGCAGGGGAGAAGTGGGGGAAGAGGGCAAAGAGGGAGGAGGGCAGTGGAGCAGATGAAGGGAGATATGAGGCACGGAGTGTCCGGGGAGCAGTGGAGGGGAGAGAGGAGAAGGGAGAGTAGGCGGAGAGTGCAGGCAGCAGCTGTGGAGCTGCTGCTGTTTTGAAACGAGCAGGAGGGGCGTGGAGAAAAAGAGGGAGGCGTATGAAGAAGTGAGAGGTGCATGGGAGAAGAGAGAGGTGCATGGTAGGATAAATGGAACTGACATGTCTATGGGAGAAGACAATCCCTCTATAGAATCAAGCAGCAAGCGTGGGATTTGATTGCAAAACTTCAAATCACTGCAGGCAACCCGCAAAGATGGTGGACGGGCAGAACAAACATGGCGGGATTGGATGGAGAAAATAGGGGTAAGGAAATAGGGAAGACATAAGGGTAGGGGCAGAATCATAGTAAAACGGATGGAAAGAAGGGGAGTTCAAGAGAGGGTATATGTGGGCAAGACAGGAGAATAGAAGAAAAGGAAAGCACGACAGACCAGCCGAGTTCAGTTAAACAAATCAGGTCAGCACAAGCAACAACAAGTCATTACAAGCAAGAGCAAGTCAGTGGGGGCAAACGGGTGATTAAACGAGTAAGGGCCAATGGGGGAGGGAGGGAGAGTGCGAGAGCACAAGTCTCACAGCTGCTTGAGATTGGGCAATGCGAGGAGAGCAGAGGGTAGGGAGCCGACGAGGGTGCACTACGAAAAGTAGCTGTGGTGTGGTGTGGGAGAGGAGAAGGATGGCATGGAAGGCAGGTACACTGAAGTCAAATCACATGCTGGTTGCACATATACGAAGGGTATACAATGAGACGACATGCTCACAGAGCATGACATGCTTACAGTGCAATGACATGCCCATCGTCATCACAGCGCACGGCATCCATGATTTCGCAATCCTCGCCTCGGCTCCATGTGCTCATACCCTCGAACTTGTGCCATTCGCGTGCTAGATTTTCCAAAGCTTCCACTGCCATCCATGCATGTCATTCACCCATGCCATACCACCCCGGGCCCCGGCAAAGCAGCAGGCCATGGCACATAACGTGTGAAGTACAATCCCGACAAGAGCGAGAGGAACAGGGGAGGGGGAAGAGGGATGATGAGGTGGGGATGGCGGGAGCAGCAGCTGCAATGAGTAGTAATAAGTAGTTGCTGGTGCGGACTTCATGTTGCATGGTGAATAGGGTTACAGTCCTGGAGTGGTGTGGCACATGGCACGCACAGACCTCTGGCTGTCAAAAGGAGGGAATACTAACATCGCGGAAAAGGGAAGTGCGAAAACCAACAGAAAAGTTACTGGCCTGTCACTTTACGGTTACTTTCGCCTCGCTGAAAAAAGTCTTAGTCAAAAACAGTGGGTCCTCAAGTGACTTGCAAGCAACTTTTCCGTCACTTTTCCGGCAAAAACTGTATACATTGACGCAGCTGACTTGGTATACAGTAAAGCAACCTCAGCACGGCTAACTGCCAGCGTCCGTGCAGCACGGCTTACACAGAGTCATAGAGTCCATCACGGCTTCCTGTCAGCATAGCGCACTCATCCCAAAACATGATGTTGGCGACTCAACAACGTAGCTACTGCATATCTACACAATTCACCCATTGCTTGCGCTAAGGCCACGGAAACATTGTAGGTATAGGTTTTGTTACAAACCCCACACCCCCACACCAACAAGGTAGTCGACTCATTACGTGTGGTCAGCTCCAACTTCCCTTCGCAAGGGTTGCGACATGCTTCATGATGTATTGTCGTTAGTACAGTACCCTGTTACTTGAAACCAACATGCTTGGGACTACACCTGTACAGTGTTATATGCGAAATGTATCGCCACAGAAAACACAGGGGATATACAGTACCTATAGAGGCTTACTCTCGGCGTCCACCACGGGAGCAGCGCGTGCGAGGGGCATGCAGCAGCGCGCCACCACCAGCGCCACCACCGCCGCTCTCGCCGCCATCGTGACGCCGCCGCGCCACCCCATCGCCGCGGCGCATCGCGGCCCCATCGATGGTCTCTGCGCGCACTGCCCGCCGTGTGCTCGTTTGCCGTCGCCGACGCTCGAACACCCCCGCCGGGCGCCCGGCGAACGTGACGGTCTTGCCCAAACGCGGCCCTGCACGCGGCACGCCTTGCCAAACGCGCGTGACCCGTACGGTGGGTGGAGCTTCGTTGCTTTGCGTGCTCGTGAGCCGTTGCGTCACGCAAACTAGTATCAAACGGTGACTGCAAGATTGTAAATCTCGTTCACTGATTCAACCGCATGGCGAGGCGACTGGTGATGCGAAATACTGATATTGTGCAAATAATTCTCGTCTTTGCCTTCGTCTCGAACACGCAATCAAAGGGGAGTGTGATGGAGTGATCAACCAGCCCAGAAGAGTTCGCGCAAGGTATTGGCTTCTTCACCTACCACTTTTAACAAACAGAAACGTTTTGGATATTTGCTAACAGCTCTGAACCGCACACTACATCGGCGTTCTTTGAATAAAAGCCCTGAAGAATTTGAAGACTTGGGATGACCAGTGTGTTGGTGGTGTGAGGGAAAGCGTCATGGTGCAGAATCAAACGCGTTACAGTGAAACGCCAGACACTGCGTTGTATCCGTGTTTCATTAGACTTCAGCATGTTAGTCCATTTGGCCTGATTAGGCATAACAATATGTGGGTGAATGCTTTGATGATACATGTATTTGCATGACACGTGAAGAATCAACAAAGTTACGAACTTCATTTTACCGGTACTGGGTAAAACAACATCAAACACGAACGTTGAAAGTAATTTCTATAACGTATACTCTTGGGATTGGTGCATGGACGAAGGAGGGATACGGGTACTTGAGGAAGCCATGCTTTATGTAAGGTTATGCTAATCAACTGACGCAGTGGAGCATAAATATCGAATATACAACTTAAGAACAACAATACCGTACTTATGATATCATGCAGATGCGATACTTAAAAATTATAAATTTTAAACACACATTGTGTTTTTAAAATTGTGTATTGTGAAAGCGAAGCTGCTTGTACTGCACATTTGGCATCGTCGAAGCGCGCTAAACGCCCTTCTCCAACTACAAAAACCGTGGGTTGGAGCTCATTTCCCTCCACCCACGTTTCTCTATTTCCAACGGCTCACTCAACTTTCCTGCTCGAGTAGTTTTTTCCTCCGTCCAAACTGGCTAGAACCAAAACGCTTCCTCGAGGCGTTTCACCCTCGACTTTACTCAGCGATATTTTTAACTTCAATCGCTCAACGATGGCACCTACGCCGGCACTTAACAACGACAACTCGGCCAACCCCGCTTCCGACTCCGACCGTAACGCCCGCGATTTTGCGGGCGATCGACGTAACAAGCGTCGGGCAGAAGATGGACCTTCCGCCCCGACTGGAGTGGACGTGCTGCTGGGCGGGCTCGATGCCCAGCACCCTTCGGCGAATGTGGCGCCAGTGGCGCCTGTGGCACCAGTGGCGCCAGTGGCAGCGGCGGCTGGCGCGACACACGCGACTGACGCGGGGCACACGCCAGCACCCGCGGCTGGACCGTCGCGTCAGCGCCAGAGGCGACGACCGGCGGTCTCCTCGTCTGACGCGACGGCGACCCCTACGCTGACGCAGGCGTTGACCCCGGACCAGGTCAACGCGCTGCTGTCCCTTCTACAGCAGCAGCCCGTCAGCGTTACAGCCGCGGAAACTGCACTACCTGCTGCATCTGCGTCTGCTAAAAACGAAACTGCAAAAAAAAGGAAAAAGGAGTGCGAGAAGCAAGGACGAATCGGCGCAACAACGACGCAGCGACCGGCGTTCCCCCTGCTCCAGCGGTCGACAACGACACCGACGACTCCGAAGATGACGCCGGTGAGGCTCTAGTCGACAATACTAATTTTATTGGCACGGAAAATCTCCCCCCCCTCCCTTCTTCTAACCTCACTTTTTCGGCGACGACATTCGTCAACGACTCCGTGCGAGAGCAAGCGGAGCTGCTGGAGGACTTGCGCGCGTACCTGCTGCACGCGGAATACAAGGCGCAGCGCGGCGACTCGGCAGGCGGACTCGAACTCATCTCACACGCCCTCAACCTCATCGCGGGGCGTTTCGAGGTGCTTCAAGTGGAGGACGCCTCCGACTTCCGCACGGCGAAGCGCTTCAAGCTGTACCAGCAGAAGAGCCTGCTGACCTCTCGACCCTTCAAGCAGGCGGTCGCGGACATGGCTGCGATGGACCGCGCCGCAAGCGCATACGCTCGCGTCAACCGCGGCGGAAGCAACGCGCCGATGCCGTTCATTCCCAAGCGGGGTCCCCCACCCACGGCCAATTGTCGTGGGTTTCGGGGCTCGTGCTTCCGCTGCGGCCAGCCGGGCCATGTGGCAAGTGCCTGCCCTAGGAACGGGCATGGTGGCCAAGGTCCCGCTCCGGTAGTGTAGGAGCGGACCATGGGAAATGCGCTCGGAGCGCAAGGCACGGTGCACTCTAGAGTGCGGAAACCGTGGGCAGCCCTAGGGGTTTGCGATGGCAAGAGGCCAGCCCTAGACAAGGGTAGAGTAGGCCTTGGGCCTAGGTTAGGGAAGGGGAACATCAACCCCTCGGTCCCATGTATTGGCCACTAGGTGGCGTATGCATGCTAGGAAAGCATTGCTATGTGTGTTGGGTCGATTTAATAAAACATTATCCCTAAAGGCCCTCTGATTTTGGCAAGTGACACTCTAAGAAACAAAGAAGTGGTGCAGAGCAAGAGAGAAAGAGAATCAGAGAGAAAGAAAGAGAGAGAGAGGGAGAGAGAGAGAGAGAGAGAGAGAGAGAGAGAGAGAGAGAGAGAGAGAGAGAGAGAGAGAGAGAGAGAGAGAGAGAGAGAGAGAGAGAGGGCATGGACAGCCGCATCCAATCGTGTGTGGACCGTGGGGCGAGCCGGTCGGTGCTCGGCACACTCGTTGACATAGCAATTCATTATCAATTCTGTCCACACCGTTTACAAGTGATCTCAAGCACGTGCACACATGCAACACACGTATTTTTAAATAAAAAGTGCAACCCTTGTCCCATGCCACGAACACACATGAGCGTGGCAATACGAGGCGGCATGCGGCGACGACCCATACGAATTTGCCATAACGGACAAAACCGTTACACATATGCGCGGCCGGCTTCGCGCGACCTTTGCATGGTGGAGCTCATGGTGCTCGAGTAGCCTTGTCCTCTCCGTCATAGCCAAAGGCTATTGGTTGCCATGGAGCCACGGCCCACCGCAACCCTTCCACGATCGCAACCATGTCGGGGCGAACACGCATGCCACATTCACACGTACTGCCGTACAAGAACTCACAGAGACCGGAGCGGCAGTTCCGATGGCCGCAAAGGAGCTTACTTGCATAAGTCCGCTCAACGTGGTCGAGAAAAAAGACAAATGCAGGCTCATTCTTGATCTGAGGAAAGTCAACACCCACTTAATTGTCCCCAAGTTCAAGTACGAGGGACTTAACCGGGTGGCCGACCTGGCACGCGCTGGGGACTGGATGTTCTCCATCGACCTCAAATCCGGCTATCACCACATCGACATCCACCCCTCGTGCTGGAAGTTCCTTGGATTCGAATTTGGTGGACACACATACGCATTTCGATCCCTGCCATTCGGACTCGCCACAGCTCCATTCGTCTTCACGCAACTCATCAAGCAACTTGCTCGGCGTTGGCGAGAACAGGGCATCCGAGTAGTGCCATACGTGGATGACATTTTATTTCTCTGCCAGTCAAAGGCCCATGCGCAAGCTACCTGTCAGCGCGTAATATTGGACCTCAAAGCAGCGGGGCTGGTGATAAACGCGAAGAAATCGCAGCTCTCACCATCGCAGCACCTTCGATTTTTGGGTGTAGAGTTGGACACCGACACCGGCCGATTCTCCATCGGTCCCGACCGACGAGTCGCGCTACATGCAACCATCCAGAACCTCCTAAGTGCAAGCAAGGCAAGCACACCAGTCCCCGTCCGTCATGTGGCCAGAGTCACAGGCATGCTCGCCTCAATGAGTGTCGCACTAGGCGCGACAGCTCGCGCATTCAGCCACGCCATGTTACAAGTGATCAACGACGCGCCGTCATGGAAAAGCAGTGTGATCGTCTCCCCATCTGTAGCTGAGGAGCTCAACTTCTGGCGCGAAGAGTTTGATCGGTTTAACGGTGCACCATTCCACGTCCGAAACAGTTACGACGCTGTAATCCATGTGGACGCCAGCTCTCACGGTTGGGGCGCCACCCTGACCACGTTCCCGGGCGGCCTCGAAGAAGCTAGTGCAACCATGCCAGAGCAGCTACGAGCAACGTCCAGCACGAGACGGGAGATTGAAGGCGTCTTTTGGGCAATCCAAACGTATGCCAACAAGATCCAGAAAAAACACGTTCTCGTGCGGGTGGACAACCAAGGTGTATTCTTCATCCTTCGCAAAGGCGGCTCTCGCAGCCCCGACCTCACCATGGCCTGCAAGGGCATCATACGAACATGCATGGAGCTCGGCACGCGCTTAATCATCGAATGGATTCCCCGCGAACTCAACTCACACGCTGACGAGCTTTCCAAAATAGTCGATCACGACGACTACTCGTTGAAGACGCCATGCTTCCGCATCTTGGAACGTCGTTGGGGTCCCCATTCCATCGACCTTTTTGCAAACTCCCGCAACACCCAGCTATCGCGCTTCTGCACAAAGATCCCTAACCCAGACGCCTTCGCGATGGATGCATTTTCGCTCGCATGGACAGGCGAAAATGGTTTAGCGTTCCCCCCGCCCCAATTGGTCCCCGCCGTCCTCCACCACGCACAACGCACCCACGCATCACTCACACTGATAGTTCCGCACAGGCCGGGCACAAGCTGGTGGCCACTACTACAACCCTCCCCATGCACGTGGGCGTCACACATCCATGCACACATCCCTCTGACACACGGAAGCCAATGCTTAGCTGCAGGGACACATTCCACTGCCTTCTCAGGCTCAGGATTACCGCACAGCCCAATCATAGCACTCCGAGTGGTATTTGACTAATTCATAACTTCTCCGCCTTGTGTTCAGATATGCTCCCAAAGCTACACGACCAGCTGATTAACATGATCGCACAGTCTCGTGCAAACTCGACGATCCGGACATACGAACCATACTGGACTAAGTTTCGAGCCTTTTGTACAAAGGTGAACCTTGCATTTCTCCCCGCATCCGACATGACCCTCGCGCTATACCTGGTCCACGCAATCCAACGTAAAGCTACCCTGTCCGTAGTACAGCTCACGTGCTCAGCAGTCAGCTTCGCCCATCGCATGACTGGGAGCACATGCCCGACGGATGGGCCATTCACCACACAAGTCCGCGACTTTGCGAAACGCCATTGCCCTCGCCCTACTCGTCTGAAGGAGCCCGTATCGATCCAACAAGTTCGAGACATGGCGGCGAGCTACCTGCTGTCTGACAATCCGGCGGAATTCCAGAAAGGGCTGATCCCTATCCTCATGTACTCGGGATTTCTGCGATACTCCGACCTCGTGGCTATCAAATGGCAAGACATCCAATTCGACGACGATGTCATGTGGATCCTCATACCACACTCCAAGACGGATCAGGCCGGTCACGGAACATGGATACCCATTGCGGCAACGGCGGACCCTTGCTGCCCCGTGCGCTGCACCAGACGCTTCATTCAACTTGCTGGCTACGGCCCGCACTCGGAGGGGTCGTTGATCCGCGTCTTCGGCCATGCCTCAACCAGCGTGGGCCAGGCCAGGCCACCTTCATACACGACGATCCGGAACTGGTGCAAGGAAGCCTTCGCAAAGGTTGGGCTTGGAGAGCAGCAGATCGGCACTCATTCCTTCCGAAAAGGCGCGGCCACAGTGGCAGCCAACACCGGTGTACCAGACAGAATCTTCAAAAGACTGGGCAGGTGGCGAAGTGACACAGCCAAGGAAATGTACGTCACGCCATACGTCGAACCTCTCATCAAGGCATCGCGCATCCTGCAGAACCCGACACTTGCATTGTCCTCGGAGCAACACGCAGAGGCACTCGTACGCAACCGGAAACCCCCGCTGCCCATGTCTCAGAGGCCCCATTTGCAATGAGAACGATGCCAAATGATAAAAACAAGAAAGCAAGCTTTCTCAATATTATAAATTTTAAACACACATTGTGTTTTTAAAATTGTGTATTGTGAAAGCGAAGCTGCTTGTACTGCACATTTGGCATCGTCGAAGCGCGCTAAACGCCCTTCTCCAACTACAAAAACCGTGGGTTGGAGCTCATTTCCCTCCACCCACGTTTCTCTATTTCCAACGGCTCACTCAACTTTCCCACCACCCACCCCAGCATCGACTGCCTACTAAGGCCGTTTGGACACGGTACATTTTAGCTAGTATTCTCTGCATGTACTAGCTTGTGTTAGAACTCGATGGATATGTTGTAATATGCCATTTGCAATGAGAACGATGCCAAATGATAAAAACAAGAAAGCAAGCTTTCTCAATCCGAAATATAAAATAGTGAAGGCCGTCCCAGCTTGAAATCGTTGCGATGAGTTGGGTTGACACAACACTGTTCCAAACAAACCAAGTAGGCAGGTTGAACTCATCTGATTTGCTCAAACAAATCTGAAAATTACTCCTCCCGCCAAAACGATTGTCCAGGCCCATGTCAATCGTCACATTTTTATACGCTGCACCCACACGACCGTTGCCCAACGATGGTTTCCATCGCCAGGACCAACTTCCAATTCAAGTTGGGACTGGGTGAATGACTAGCTGATAAGAGTCCCAAAGTCACTAGTGCTTTGCGTAGCATTAGTAGTAAAGCCGAGAAAGCGTAGATGATTCTGGCTTAGGCACGTAAGATTCGACTTCGCTCGCGTGCGTAATGTAGTGAACGTGGCTCTGTATAGTCAATATTTTTCTCGTCTCTCGCAAGTGAAACGTGACCCTTCACCTCGTAGCCCTCGCGTTCTCGGTAAATCAGGCTCCCGTCGCTCTACATCTCTTCTTCTCACAGTAACCATCGCGTTGCTCTCACGCTCACATTGAATCGCCTTTCCGTCGCCCTTCCTCCCCCTCCTATCACCCCCTTCGTCGCCGTCACGCGCGCCTCAAATCGCCCACCCTCGCCCCTACCGTCGCCATCACCCTCGCGATCTCCTCTCACATCCCGTCGCCATTCCTCTCTTGTTGCCCTTCCTCACTCCTGTCGCCAGTTCGCTATCCCGTCGCCCTTCCTCTCTCTCGCCGCCCTTCCTGTCTCCCGTCGCCCTTCCTCCCCGGTCGCCCTTCTTCTCTCTCCTCCCGCCGCCCTCGCGTCTCATCGCGATCGCGTTCCCACCGCACTTCCGTCACCCTCCGTCCCGACTTTCGTAAATTATGACCTCCCCTCGCGTCGTTCCTCTTCTCTTCCCTCCCCTCCCGTCGATCCCTCTTCAGGTCCTTGATCCCGTGGCCTCGCTCTCGTTCTCCCCATCCCTTTCCGCCGTCCTCACTCTCTCCCCTGCCTTTCCGTCGCCCTCGTTCTCTCCCCTCCCTTTCCGCCGCCCTCGCTCTCTCCCCTCCTTGACCGTCGCCCTCGTTCTCTCCCATCCCTTTCCGTCGCCCTCGCTCTCTCCCCTCCCTTTCCGCTGCCCTCGCTCTCTCTCATCCCTTTCTGTCGCCCTCGCTCTCTCCCCTCCCTTTCCGCCGCCCTCGCTTGGTACCCTCCCTTTCCGTCACCCTCGTTCTCTCCCCTCCCTTTCCGTTGCCCTTGCTCTCTCCCCTCCCTTTCCGCCGCCCTCGCTCTCTCTCATCCCTTTCCGTCGCCCTCGTTCTCTCCTCTCCCTTTCCGCCGCCCTCGCTCTCTCCCCTCCCTTTCCGTCGCCCTCGCTCTCTCCCCTCCCTTTCTGTCGCCCTCGCTCTCTCTCATCCCTTTCCGTCGCCTCGTTCTCTCCCCTCCCTTTCCGCCGCCCTCGCTCTCTCCCCTCCCTTTCCGTCGCCCTCGTTCTCTCCCCTCCCTTTCCGTCGCCCTCGCTCTCTCCCCTCCCTTTCCGTCGCCCTCGCTCTCTCTCATCCCTTTCCGTCGTCCTCATTCTCTCCCCTCCCTTTCCGTCGCCCTCGTTCTCTCCCCTCCCTTTCCGTCGCCCTCGCTCTCTCCCCTCCCTTTCCGTCGCCCTCGCTCTCTCTCATCCCTTTCCGTCGCCCTCATTCTCTCCCCTCCCTTTCCGTCGCCCTCGTTCTCTCCTCTCCCTTTCCGCCGCCCTCGCTCTCTCCCCTCCCTTTCCGTCGCCCTCGTTCTCTCCCCTCCCTTTCTGTTGCCCTTGCTCTTTCTCATCCCTTTCCGTCGCCCTCGTTCTCTCCCCTCCCTTTCCGTCGCCCTCGCTCTCTCCCCTCCCTTTCTGTCGCCGTCGCTCTCTCTCATCCCTTTCCGTCGCCCTCGTTCTCTCCCCTCCCTTTCCGCCGCCCTCGCTCTCTCTCATCCCTTTCCGTCGCCCTCGTTCTCTCCCCTCCCTTTCCGTCGCCCTCGCTCTCTCCCCTCCCTTTCCGTCACCCTCGCTCTCTCCCCCCCCTTTCCGCCGCCCTCGCTCTCTCTCATCCCTTTCCGTCGCCCTCGCTCTCTCCCCTTCCTTCCGTCGCCCTCGCTGTCTCCCCTCCTTTCCGTCGCCCTCATTCTCTCCCCTCCCTTTTGTACTTGCTATCTCCCCTGGCATTCCGCGGATTTTTCTCACGCATCTCTCCTCTCGCGTCCTCGTTTCTATTGCTCTATTTGTCTCTTCTCGAGACACCTTGAAATTCTCTGTTACATGCAGCGATGGTTTTCACATGTTGTTATTGCCGCCCTAGCAGGCCTATGTCTAAGGCCTTAGCTTTGCGTGAGTTGGGCTTGCTTTGCGTGAGTTGGACTTGCTTTGCACGAGTTGGACATGCTTCACGATGTGAATTTGGCTCTGAATGCAATTGCGATTCGCACGTCGTTGTATTTGCACATGCTTGCGATGATTTTTGTCTGAGAAGAAATTTGGAGACTCGATCATATGGGGCTGGAAAAAAAATACACAACAGTACTTCAACTTTCAAGTGGACCCAACTAGAAGGGGGGGGTCACTATTTTAGCTGCTGGCTTTAAAGGCGAGTATCTTGTTACCAAATTCATTCCCGCGTTAAAGTGGGTCACTCGCAAGTGATCTCCATGGCAGCTTGCCAGGCAGCAAGGGCTCTCTTTGAAAAGAAGTAGCGTGTGGGGGGTCGATTCTTGAAGCGCCTCAGAATCGCCAGTGACAACACCAACGCCAGCTGCAGCAGCACTGCCAGTGGAAGCAGCTGCAGCAGCAGCAGGTTTGGAGGTGCCTGGAGAACACAGAGAGCCTCCTCCACCACTGCAGTGTCTGGTGGTTCACATGGTGGGTTGGTGGATGCACGGTGGATGAGGAGAGGGAGGGAGGGTGGGAGGGAGGAGGCGATGCATGTAAAGAAGCAGCATATGGGTGAAGGAGTGCTGGGTACTGGTGGAGAGCAAGCAGGCATCAAGGAGGCTTTGGAGGACAAGAGGGACAATATGCAGATAGAACGACCTGATCGAGTGATAAAGAACAGAAGAAGAAAGCACAAGAGGAAAGACAAGACGCAGCTTTGGAGGGGCGTTTGTTTATACACAAGGTGTGCTGTTGTAAAGGTTCGTCTCCGTCGGTGGCTGCGAGGTCGCCGTAGCTCCGTTCGTCTCCGCCGGTGGCTGCGAGGTCGCCGTAGCTCCGTTCGTCTCCGCCGGTGGCTGCGAGGTCGCCGTAGCTCCGTTCGTCTCCGCCGGTGGCTGCGAGGTCGCCGTAGCTCCGTTCGTCTCCGCCGGTGGCTGCGAGGTCGCCGTAGCTCCGTTCGTCTCCGCCGGTGGCTGCGAGGTCGCCGTAGCTCCGTTCGTCTCCGCCGGTGGCTGCGAGGTCGCCGTAGCTCCGTTCGTCTCCGCCGGTGGCTGCGAGGTCGCCGTAGCTCCCTTCGTCTCCGCCGGTGGCTGCGAGGTCGCCGTAGCTCCGTTCGTCTCCGCCGGTGGCTGCGAGGTCGCCGTAGCTCCGTTCGTCTCCGCCGGTGGCTGCGAGGTCGTCGTAGCTCCGTTCGTCTCCGCCGGTGGCTGCGAGGTCGCTGTAGCTCCCTGGAAAGTCGCTGCGATGCCAAGCAAAGGCGGGAGGAGAAGATTGGGAAGGAAGAGGAGTGGTGGAGAACGAGAGTGACGTGAGAGAGGGAGTGAAACGGAAAAGGGAGTGATGGGAAAGGAGTGGCATGTGCGTAAGCTGTCAACACTGGGTGCAACCTGGTGACGCAGAATAATGAATGGGATGGGTTTCTCTGTCTAAGCTGTGTGAGATGGACTTTTGAGCCGTCGATTCCACTTTCCGTGTTGTAAACACTGCTTCTGGTCAACAATGGGTGCAACCCGGTGACGAGCTTAGGCTTTGATTCCTCTATCATCAATTATTCGGCATAGACACAATGAATTCGGATAGAAAGGGCGCTTCACATGAATTATATTCAGAATCATCAATGACTGAATAAGATGGATCTATCCGAAAGATGCGTTGACACAAGAGGGAAGTGAGAGTAAGTGGTGTCCCGGCGGAGGAAGCATGGGAGGAAGCGCTTGGATGGCATGCAAGGCTTACGAGGTTGGCACCATTGAAGGTGCAACCCCCAGCAAGGAGAAAGGAAGGAACGGCTGGGTAGCAGAAAACGAGGTGATGCGGGCAGTAGGGATGCTGTTCCACAGAGACGAAGAGCTAGACAGAGAGATGGGTGTTATAATGTAATGAATTGATAGAAAATGTGAAGTACAACCCTAGATATATCAAACCCTAATCATGCAAGGAAGCAGAAATGTAACACCTAGATTAACCTAAACAACACATATAAAATATATGTTGACACACCCCCATAGTCTAGGTGACGGTAACCCCGTGGAAAGACAACACATATCCCATGGTGGGTCTCAAGGACACACACAGTCTGAGAGAAAACAAGGGTCACATGACCAGTCAGCAAGAACAAGAACAAACAAGGGTCACAAGACCAGTCCTCAAGAACAAGACAAATCTCAGGGTGGAGCTCAAAGTCACCACACAGTCCGAGAGCAAGCAAAAGAGCCACAAGGCCAGTTCACATGCAGGTATATAGCAAATATATTGAGATGCAAGAGTACAAGACAATAAGAACAAAGCATCTACGTAAGCAAGTGAGGACGGACCCGCACAAGGCCAAGCTGGGTGCAGAAACGCTGGTGATCACAAGGCGACAGCGCCTTGGTGACAATATCTGCAGTGTTGGCCTCAGAGACCACACGTCGTACGAGTACCTGGCCACGCTGCTGCAACTCACGCAGAAGGAAATAACGAAGCTGGTTGTGCTTCGCCTTCCCAACCAGTCGGGGCTCCTCACACAACAGGACGGCAGACGTGTTGTCGGCGAACAAGACTGGGGGAGAGCGAGGCCGCTCACCAAGGTCGGTGAGAAGGAAAGACAGCCAACGAAGCTCCTGAGCCGCCATGGCCGCAGCGTACACCTCTGCCTCACAGCTGGAACCGGCGACGGACGACGCCCGAGTCGACCGCCACGAAACAGCACCTGCCCCGAGGCTAAAGGAGTACCCCTGTGTAGACCGACGCGTCTCCGCGTCGTCGGCCCACGACGAGTCCGAGTAACCTGTGAGTGTAACTGGCTGTTTCCCTCCCCTGATGTACTCGCCACATATTTCGCCACGCTCTTAGCAGCGTACCAGTGGGACGGTCGGTGTCTCCCAGGCGCAACAAAACGCGCAAGGACGCTAAGAGGGTAAGCTAGGTCTGGGCGAGTACAGGTCATCAGGTACATGAGACAACCCACCAGCTCAGGATATGGACCACTGGACTCAAATAACTCGTCCGAAGGTGGAGCCGTGAGCCCATGATCCACACCAAGAGGGGTGAGCTGTACCTTGGAGAACGGGAAGCGAAACCGCGTGAGGATCTGCTCGACCATATGCGACTGAGTCAGCGTAATGGTACGAGCTGCCCTGTCCCTGGTGATCTGCAGGCCAAGGTAGTGCTGCAGCTCACCAAGGTCAGTGCAAGTGTGTCTCCTCTGCAGTTCCTCCTTCACGGAGGCCAGCGCGCGTCGGTCGGGAGTGGCGAACACCAGGTCGTCGACGGAGACCAAGACAAAGAACGGGGTCGAGCCACGGCGAACGAACAGTGACGGGTCAGCAGATGACGGAAAGAAGTCAAGCGCTGCAAGGGTCGAGCGAAGTGTGTCATGCCACTCACGTGGAGCCTGACGCAGGCTGTAGACTGGTCGACGCAGCTGCCACTGGGTCCCAGGTGGGAAAGAGCAAGTGAAGCCAGGCGGGCGACGCAGCCAGATCTGCTCGTGCAGGCTCCCCTGAAGGAACGCGGTGGAGAAGTCCAAGTAGTGCAACTCGTAGTCGCGCTGGGCTGCAATATGCAGCAACACCCGAAGAGTACTCATCTTCGGGGTGGGAGCGAAGGTCTGGAAGAAGTCCACCCCCTCTCGCTGACTGAAGACTCTCGTCACATAGCGCGCCTTGAACACAGGTGGTGATCCAGGCGGCCGCTTCACCTTGAAGAGCCATCGGCCACTGACGACATTCGTCCCAGGTGGTGGGACTGCGTCGACGTAAGTGCCTGTGGACCTATAAGATGCCATCTCTGCCTCCTCAGCTGCTATCCAGTACGAAGACCAGGGTCCCGAGACCGCCTCGGCGTGAGTGCGAGGGATCGGGATGTCAAGAGCGTCTGGATCCCCCTCAGGGGCAAGCAACATGGCGCAGAGATGAGGAATAGCGGCCGCAAGAAAACCAAGCTCGAACTGCCTGTCCTCGAGGACCTCTAGGGGAAAAACAGGAGCACCCCCAGAGAACGGAGAACGAGCAGGGCCACTCACCAAGTGAGCGGCGTAGTTAAGGCGGTGGGAAGAGGCAAAGCCAGCGACAGTGGTAACAAGTGCCGAAACAGACGGCAGAGGTGCAGTCGGGTGAGTGACCAACGCGGACAAAACACGGGAGACGACAGGACGGGAGGCACGGAGGTAGTCGGACAACGGGTCGTGAAGCACAGTGAGGAACGACTCAGGTGGCTGTGGAAGGACAGGAGGAGGTGGAACACGTGAGCGAAGAACAAGGTGGAACGGACCGTCTGCACGGTAACGGGACCGACGACGCTCTGGGGACACAGCACGACTGAGGGGAGAACGACGAGTCCACTGGGAGGAGGAAAGGGACTCAACAGGGGGAACAGGAGGGGACGGTAGGGGACCACGAACAAAGCGTGCAGGTGCTGGGTCGGGGAGGTCGTGTAGTCGCAGTCGCTGCTACTCCGCCTCCTCTGGCGTCTGCTGCGACGGCACTGGCCCCTCCTGCTGCTCCTGTGGCTCCGCCTCTGTCCTCTCCTGCTGCGACTGCAGCTGCACCCGCTGCTGCGACCGGGACTCCTGCTCTACCCTGTCGTGCTGCTGCTGTGACTCCTCCTCTACTCTCTCCTGCTGCTGTAGCTGCTGCTGCTGCTGCTGCTCCTGCTGCCGCTGCTGCTGATTGCATCAGGCATGGTGATTGCATGGTGATTGCAATCAGGCATCGTCCCTGCAAGGCGATTGTTGCCAAGTCCACTGGAGAGGGGTGGATGATGGGACATGGAGGGAAGGAGAGAACCAGAGCAGGAGATGAGAAGAAGAGAGAGGTGGAGAGGATGAGAGAGAGGAGGGAAGGGAGAGAGTAGAGGAGAGAAGAAGAAGGTAGAAGGAGAAGAGACGAGGAGAGGAGAAGAAGACAGAGATGACGCCGTGGAAGAGTGTGAGTGCTATAGCTGAAAGGAGTTCGCTTTCAGAAAAACACATCCACTCCACACCACCAGGCGGGATCACCACCCTCTCAAATCCCCCATGCTTGGCAGAGAGAGCGAGGTGGAAAGAAGGAATGGAGAGGGGAGGTTGGAGGGAAAACAAGCGCACAGGAAGCCGAGTCCTTGGAGGTGGGCAATGGAGGCGGGAATGGTGCCACTCAGATTGTTGCTCTGGAGGTTCCTGCCATGGCATGGCATGAGATGGGATGGGATGGGATGGGATGGGATGGGATGGGATGGGATGGGATCGGATGGGATGGGATGGGATGCGATGGGATGGGATGGGATGGGATGGGATGGGATGGGATGGGATGGGATGGGATGGGATTGGATGGGATGGGATGGGATGGGATGGGATGGGATGGGATGGGATGGGATGGGATGGGATGGGATGGGATGGGATGGGATCGGATGGGATGAGATGGTGTGGGATGGACGGCTAGGGCAATAACTCACAGGGCACTCACTCACATATTTCACTTCCTTAATCGCGTATAAGAACTGGAGGTAATGAGCTCAAGGCTCAAGAACGGATGGGCAGGGAATCAGAGGCAATCTCTAATGAGATCACCGAAAGTTGGGTCCACTTTGGGTCTCATCTAAAACCAACTTCGGGTCTTTCGGCAAAAAACTGCCCCTGTTTCCGAAAGACAAAATGTTTGATCAGAAGTTTAACCAAAAGCTTCGAGTCTTCCTGGGACAGCCCCAAGCTTGACACGAGCCAGGAACGTACCCAGAGATTGTGTGACACCTGGGTAGGGTTGGGATGTTGATGTAACGCCCAACCCAGAAAAATTACAACTACACTGAATTAAAATATACATATGAATATATACAAATACAAAGTCGAGATCAAAGGCTCACTCTCCCACCCATTTACTCACTGAATACTATCATGCCTGATCATCCCACAGCACCCCGCATGCCTTCCCCATAACGACTCACAACTCCCACATCTGATTGAGTCTGCTGATTGTCCCGGGAATGGAGCCTGAGAAACCGTTGTCGTTGAGTCTCCTCGTGCATGGAAAGCATTTGGGGGGGGGGGGGGGGGGGGGGGAAAGAAGGGGAAGGTAGGGACTTGACAGCTGACTGGAAGTTTTGTACTCTTCAAAACTTTATGTCAACGGATAGAAGGGAAGGTTAAGGTGACGTAAGGATGGGCGCACAGGAAGTGAAGTTCGGTGAGGCGGCCAATGAAGGCGGGAATGGTGCCACTCAGGCTGTTGCCCTGTAGGTCCCTGCCATGGCATGTGATGGGACGGGATGGGATGGGATGGGATGGGATGGGATGGGATGGGATGGGATAGGATGGGATGGGATGGGATGGGATGGCACAAACAAGGTACACCATGAGCGGCAGTATGCTCAGTAGCTCACCGTGGAAACAAAGTAATGGA